CCTGGTCCGGTGAGAACCCGGCGTGCTCCGTCCCGGCTTTGTAGGGATGCGAGGTCAATGGTCTAACGACTACGGCATGCACGACTATGAGTACCCCCCCCCCCCCGTCCACGCGTCTCTTATCAGCCGGGCGGACTGACCTTCTGGATAGGCCTTGGTACAAGGGTGAAGTTGACTTCCAATGACAGCTTGGCCGCTGCGTTGAAGCACTCCTCATCGTCTCCAATGAACAGCCCTCGGAGCGCAAGCCCCCCACTGTTTCCTGCAGGCCCTATCACTGTCAAAACATACACCTGCGAGCGGGGCAGGGGGGTCGGGCAGAGAACGTGGGCGGAAACAGGTACGCGGCGAAACGTCGAAAGGCAATGGGCAGCACTGTCAAAGGGGCCTTCAAGGTTCACAGTGAACAACTTCCAGGCACGCGTTTTGAGTCGACTTGGTTGTCTCCACCACGTTACTCTCACCAGGGGCAGCTTTTGCAAAAAATCGTCCGCTGCGCGGTTGAGGATGCGCCTCAGGGGATTGTCCACCCTGCCCATCATCCTCTCCATCCCGTAACAGGCCCCGATGAAGTGAGAAAGGTCGATGGCGTCTTTGCCCCCCAGCCCGACGAACAGATTCTTGTTGTAGTTTGACATGCCCATCACCTCGTGCGGCACAACCTGCAGTCAATGTGTAGCGACTGAATCATGCAAAATGTCCCGAAATTTGACATCGCGGACGCGGCAAATACCACACGTTTTGGTCGATATTAGCGGTGACTACCATCACCCGCCCCCGGGGGGATCATATCGGCAAATGATCAAATACACAGCATCATGAGCTGCCCAGACGCGTGCTACCGAACACGGCCACGGCTGCGAAAAAAAGAAGGTCGTTCTTCAACGCCACCTGTCCGATGGAAAGGATGAGGTCGTGACCCCCTTCCCACACCAGGCGGTTGACCTGAGCCGGCCATGGGACGTCCAGGTGGCCGCACGACGCCTCTTTCACGACTTCCGCGGGAACGTGCCCAATCTATCCTTTGTTTGGTAATGCGAGTGAAGAAGCGAGTGCGCAAAGATAATGCACCGGGGAGGCTCGTTTGGAAGTCGTCAGGTGGTTAGTAGATGTGTGCGTGTTCCCCGCCCGGTTTACACGACCTCGTTTTTTCGGAAACTGGAGAATCATGCAACAAGCCGTACTACTGCCGCCCATTAGCAGCAAAGCAAGACATAGCTCAGCGTTTCCGCGTGTGGCCAATCCCTTGTTCGGTGCTCAACAGAAACCATCCATGTAGCACGCACGAGGGGTTCGGGGGAGGGTGCTCTCATTGCCGCCTACCCTGGTTGCTTGGGCCTTCCGTGCTCACCCCGTCGTCGCCGAAGCACCACTTTTATAGCAGGTGCACGATCAGAGCTGCGATCGGTCGAGATCCACATATCTGGCACATGTTATATTTTTGTTGAGACTACCGCTTTTGAGTGGCTGTCTGCAATCGGCCGAGAGCACACGTTAGCGTGTAGCCTTCCTTTTCTGAGACTCCTGCCATGATTTTCCGGGAAACTCGTTGGCGCGTTGGCACCGAGGGCGGGAGAGACCGTTTCACCTACCGTCACCACGTCGTTTCGCCAGTCGTGCACCCGGAAAAGCTCAGCGGGGATGATTTCGAACATGCGTTCCCGCTCGTCCTCCGTCAAGGGTTCGTGGGACCCCAGGGCGGGCATAACGTCCTTAACCGCCTCGCCGTAGTGCCTGTAGGCAAGCTGCGTGAGCATGCCAGCACGCGAGTGGAAGCGGGTGTAGTCTGGCGGGACGATGCACACCTTCTCCCTGCAACGTGTGGTTCGAGTTTCCGGAGGGAGGGGGTGGGGGGGTGGGGGGGGGCAAAGCACGGCACACACTGCAATGAGGGAGTTGGATGTTTGCTCCTTTGTGGGCTAGATGACTTGCCCTGCGGAAGCCCCTGTTTCACGCTCCAATCGTTGTACCATTGCTTCTCTTCTTGTGTTGATTCTGCTCGTTGGTAATAAATCTGTCGGTCGATCCACTCCGAGGTTGGCTGGCGTGCACTTCCTTAAGGTACTTCTAATACGAAGGCCAAGATGCCAAGAAAGCGAGCATCTGCATGAACAAGCGTGGTGATTCACGCCACTAACCTGCAGTGAGTCGCCGCCGTGTGTGGAGTCACAGCGGCAAGTGGACATTGGACACTGCTACGGTGAACATTGCAATGTTTCAGAGTGAGCTTTGCACTAGTGTAGTTCAAGCAACCCTGAAGAAGATCTGGCCGTCTTGCTGTCTCCTAGCCACCACAATGTCAAGAACAATCCTGCCCGTATCCATCACTGCTGCTGTGGACGGCAAAGCCTTCTTCTCTCATCCCACACCTTTTGCCCAGTTTTTCAAAGGCCACGTCGAGAGCTTCCTTGGCGTCGCGAGGAGTGATGACATCCTGGGGAGAGCCGCGAGCATAGTAGATCGTCATGTGGTGTGTCTCCTAACCCTCTTGAGATCGTTTTGCCGTACGTGTCCGTGGAGAGAGGCGCGCGAGATCCACGCCGAAAAGCAACATAGAAGGATGGTTTGCATTTTGAGGTCTAGATAAGAATGATCAGCACGAACGACATCAATACGTGCAATAGCGACAGTCCGTGGACTATAGTCTCGCGCTAGGAGGAAGCACAACAGGAAAAACGTTCCGTAATGTGCACAACACGTCTGTACACGTTTGACCGTGCATGGCGAGAGGTCGCCAAGCAAGCAAAACTAACAAACCGAAATGATACCCTTTCGCTGAAGGATACAACCCAACAGCCAATGTGGAGCTGATCAACCACTTGCATTTCATGTTGCTGAACGAGATCATCAGCAGCGCCACGCAATACCTCTGTCAACAGGCCAATCCAGACAAGAGCAGTAGTGCTGCTGCGGTTTGGTAAAGGAAGCGTGCAGCCGCATAACAAAATGTGATATTGTGCTTGTGACCGGAACACAGGATCCTGTCCACAGATCCATCCATTCGTTCTCATTCACCGCATACGTACCTCTTAGAAGAGCACAGCGTCGCACACGTGTGGCGTTGGCGCCGCGAGTGTCGAGGGCTTGTCGTCTTGTCGTTGGCGGGCGGCGGGTTTTAGAGAAAATTTCCGGTTCTGGTTTGGTTCAGCCTTAAAACCAAGTTCCCTTCGCGCAAGCGGCACGGTCGCCGAACCGACGAGGGCCTGATCCTTGAGCTGAGATACTGAGATCCTTACCACCCTGCATCCTGTAATTAGCATCCTGGCATCGTGTATCGTGTCTCGCGTTTTCCAGCTCTACTCCGTCATTGCGTGTTCAAAAATCCAAGCACTCCCAACAATTCCTTGTCTTGTGCAGCCTACATACCTCGCGGGATTGACGACAGGAAGCTTGTTTCACTGACGATTCAGCGACGAAAATTGTCAAGTTGTTCGGCATATCGTCTATGAATGCACCAGCCGGAGTAATGAAGCAGAAAGGCCACAACAAACAAGATTTTGTGTTTCCTCCTTGCATTTGGGGTGCTCTATTTATCGCGAGACGGGATGACCGGATCATCCACCCCAAAATCTCGTCTGCCGCGAAAAAAAATCGCATTGCAGGACTTGGAACCACGACAGCACGGCGACACGGCGGCCACCGATAGTACAACTACAGTCTGTGGAAGTTCTTCCGTCCACTATTTATCGCAGGGGATAATAAGCAAAAACAATAATGGGAGGCTACACACTACTTTGCCAACACCACAGGGACCGAAACATGTATGTGTTGACAGCCGACCGATTTCATCACCCCGCGCCACTTTCCCGGTGCCCGACCCATCGCGCACATTTTGTCCTCCGTGATCGTTCCCGCGATTCAACACAAGTTCAACAGCTACACACATGTGTAGGTCCGACGGGTCGGTTGAGGCGAATAGGCTGGATGGTTTATCTGAAAAGCCACCAAATGGGTAGCGCGGGTGATCGACCCTAAAACTAGCCCAATTCGTTCTCTGACTGTCCATGCTACAGCTTCCCCTTTCCACAAGATATCCATGCCACAAGCCATAATTATCAAAATTCCGCGGGCTTTTCCCGTCTTGGCGGTTTCAACTCAAACGCTTAATTCAAGACGCCCAAGGGTCACCACGTGCTACTCTCTCTCAATATGTCCTCTAGAGCCTACTCCACAGGATTTCCTCGCTCTACCCCTCTCTAGTCTAACCCCTCCTCCCTCCCCGACACACCATTTTGGACATGCTCCGCACGAACCCGACATGCCGCTTGGCAAGCCGTTACTTCCAAACAAACGCTGGCAAACACCGTCAAAACTCGAAAGCAATATCATTAATACAAGTGCGTGCCTCCTCTCCCTCACTAACAGATTTCCACAAATTAACCACAAAGAGAGGAACAGAACAAAATGACAAAAAATGAACAAAATCAGGCGAGATGAAGACGTCCGCTTTTTCGGATTCGTACACAAGCCTCTGCCGATACATGCTTACGGGGCCCGAACGAACACGAAAACATGATCGTCGGACATTCGGCTGATTCGCATGTCATCGTCGAGGTAGTACGTGGACAGCTTCGCCTCCGGAACGCTGCCTCTGAGGGTGCTGCGGAACATTAACGCGACACACGACAACAAAATCAGTCAAAGAGAAAAATAGAAAACATCGGTCACGAAGTGGACACCAGGGTGCTGATGACTTCAACTGCTTGGGCCTTGGGTGTAGTAATGACGGGAGGGCAGCTAGCTGTCATACACACCCCACATGGAGAGCTGTTTATGTCACGCCAAACGGGGGGTTTGCGATGAACACGGCATATACAATTCATCAGGCCACATACCGTATTGACGTATGCACGTTTGAGGTCCGACATGCTTGTGCAAGGAGTGCGGCACGTGAACAAAGGTGGTTGAGAAACCAGGGCCGAGACGAGGAAAATTCTGAAGTTGGAACACCAAAGATTACAGAAATGCGGGTGACCCACACCCGCGCGGAACATATTGTTACAGAGTAGTTTTCCCTGTTTAAGACCGCTCGTTTAAGGCCGGTTGCCCTGGTTAAGGCCGGTGAAATCGCGTGGCACAGATATTCAAGTTACCCCATACTATGAATGGTGTCGGGCACCCGATATAAGGCCGGCGTTTGCCCTTGGGCCAAGCAGACTTAAACGGGGCCTCTACTGGGTTGTGGGGAGCGGGAACGAGGAGAGGTTGTGGGGACAGAGGCCCCCTTCCAACGTTATACTTGTACTCCGGAGTGTTTTACGAGCTATTTTGCAGAAAAACGCACGAGAAAATGGCCGAATCAGGCAACAGAGGGGTCGCAAAGGGAGGCCAAACGTTCCACGCCGCTTTACGCCACTTGAACACCCGGCAGACATCGACAAGCCCTTCAAAACGTCAAACTCCCTACGGCATCGCATACTCTTTCAACTCGAGACTCGACAGCCCGCCAAAATCATAGCACTAAATTCTACGAGAGTTAGCCCAAAGCAGGATACCGCCCGTACAACATTGGTTGGCGAGGCGTGTAGAAGCAGCTGCGGGGAAGTTCGTACGTGATACAAATCGAAGACGACCACGGTATCACGGGCGTGCTGGTCTGCCAGACTCAAACCCAAGCGAGGATAACCATGTACGAGGATCATTACCAGGCAAAATCTCCTCCACCCACCTGTACACCTGCTCGACGGGCACTTCAACGGCACCGTCCAAGAACGACAGTATGTTGTTGTTGGTCACAGACGTGCTCTCGACCACGACAGTGAAAGAATCGGAGCTGAAGTGGGGTTGCACGAGGCGGACAAGGGTGGGGAGGGGGGGGGGGG